CCTATGAATGTGAACAATGTAGGAAAATGTTCCCCTGGAAATCAGTTCTCACTAGGCATTGGAGAATGCACACAGGAGAAAAACCCTATGAATGTGAACAATGTGGGAAAACATTCTACAGCAAGCAGGCCCTATGTGTACATAAGAGAACTCACACAGGAGAGAAGCCCTATGAATGTGAAAAATGTAGGAAAATGTTCTCCCAGAAGTCACATCTTATTGAACATCAGAGAATTCACACAGGAGAAAAACCCTATGTGTGTGAACAATGTGGGAAAACATTCTCCAGCAAGGGGTACCTAACTGTACATAAGAGAACTCACACAGGAGAGAATCCCTATGAGTGTGAACAATGTAGGAAAATATTCTCCTGGAAGTCAGTTCTCACTGTGCATTTGAGAATGCACACAGGAGAAAAACCATTTGAATGTGAACAATGTGGGAAAACATTCTCCAGGAAGTGGTACCTAACACTACATAAGAGAACTCACACAGGAGAGAAGCCCTATGAATGTGAACAATGTAGGAAAACGTTCTCCCAGAAGTCACATCTCACTGCACATCAGAGAACTCACACAGGAGAGAAGCCCTATGAATGTGAACATTGTTGGAAAATATTCTCCTGGAAATATGCACTCACAGTACATCAGAGAACTCAACACAGGAGAGAAACCCTATGATTGTGAACAATGTAATAAAACTTTTTCCCAAAAGTCACATCTTACTTTACATCTGAGTACTCACACTGGAAAGAAACAATGTAGGCAGCATTTTACTACTAGAAGGCAGGGCTGATTGTACATCAGAGGACTCCCATAGAAGTGAAACCTTATGAATGTGAAGAATATAGGAATTTTTTTTTCTCTTAGAAAGTAGTAAGCATCTGAAAAGTCACACTGGAGAAAATCTTCACGTATGTAGGGAGTGTAGATAGTCTTTCATTTATAAGTCAACCCTCAATGTACATCAAAGAATTTACAAAAGAAAAAGCCTATGAATGTCATTGCACCAATAGAAAAAATTTTCCATGTAATATGTTAGTCCTTACTGTATATGAGAGAACACAGAAGTAAGTGCTATAAATGGGAATAGTGTAGAAAAATGTTTTCAGTGTAATCATTTCATGTTTTACATTAGAGCACTCACAAGAAAGAGAAACTCTGTATGTGTGGGAATTGTAGTAAAACCCTGTTGAAGAAGTCACAACTTACTGTGTATGAGCAACCTCTCAGATCAGAATCAAATGAATGTGAAAAAATGACAAAATCTTTTCATTAGGATTAAAAGCTTGCCATTAGTAAACTCAAATGGGATAAAATCCTTAGTAATGTAAGCTGTGCTATAAATCCTTGTAATATTCAGAAATATGAATTGATCTCTGAAGGTAACAACATTGAACTTTTTTCAAATTCAGCTTTGATTCAGCAAGCCATCGTAGTTAAAATTATGAATATCAGAAAATTTGGGGATGATATCTGTCTAAAAACGAGAACACTTCAGAAGGCTGATGAATAAGATCTACGAGTTTCCCAACTACAGGAGAAACACATTTTGGGAAGTTTTATTTTAAACAGCAATTTTTGCTATAGGGCATATGTACTCTCTGAAGAGACAGAGAGACAGATGAACAGAAAGCACAAAACCACCCCTTGGGGGGATGGCTACACCACAATCCCTTCTCCATTCTCCTCTCAGGATCTTGGGCACACAAGTACACACATCGGCTTGAGTTTTAAGTCTCTGAGTCTGGGACTTGAACTGCATTTGAATATGTGGTAGGCCAGTGACATAACTATTGCACCATCTGCCGGCTCCAGCAAAAGTTTATTTCTGTGATCCATGTTTGATCTTTAAAGATGCAACAAAATATAAGTAGTGATTTTGGCAAAAATAAAAATAAATATAGATTTTTCTACTTTCCAGTTCTGGCCATGGCAGGCAAGACAACAGAAAAAGTGTTTCAAAACATAGTGAAAACTGAAAGATTAGATGCCATATAAGCATTGAAAGTGGTTATAGGTGCTAGAGACAATGTGGGAAGAGGAAGGGAAAAAGGGGACAGTGTGAGGAAAATAGGCAGGCATTTTTGCAATATAGAAATGTATTATAATGTGTTGATGATAATGTGTTTTGTATCGTCAACTGTTCTGGTGGGAAGTATATTCATTTTGGATAAATTCAACTTACAAGCTAAGGGATGTATTGGGATTAAATGTACAAAATAAATTAAAATTTAAAATAACTTAAAAATAATAAAATATACCGTCAAGGCCTAACAAAATGAAACAAAAAATTCTAAGTTGTTTCAGAGCCTGCGAACTACTCATATGTACTAAGTGTGCTCTGCAAGTGTACCTCTGGTAAAATGTCCTAGTTTACTTTGAGAATGGAACTGATCTAGGTTAGACAGGAGGCATGCGAATGTTCTGAATGTGTTGAAAAACAACATAGTCCTGAGTGGTTATAAAATTTCCAAGATCTTCTTTGGATGTTGATCACAGTTTTTGTGGACAGCTTTAGCCACGAGGTTCAGAGGCAGAACACCCACTGGTCCAGAAATGCATCCCAATGTGAATTGGTATTTGGCTGGTTTTGGTTTTGGTTTGCTCAACATCATGACTCAGGTAGAACAAACCAAACTACAGTAGGTGGAATGTAAGGTAGCTGGGCAGTGGTGACAAGAAAAGGCTGGTGGAAGTCCATATGAGCTACAACGTGAAAGTTAGATGACCAGACTTACTGTGTGCACTCACATTGTCTAGCAAACATCACTGTTGTCTGTATGACTCTTTCCATCTTGTAAAATTGAGTGGAATGGTTACACAATAATATGAATATATTGAATAATACTAAATTGCATATACTTGGACATGGTTAAAATGTATCAAAGTTTTGCCTTGATTAAACTTTAGTCAGGCCTCTCAATCTTTTAGTTTCCTCTGCATACTTCCTTGTAAAATCTCTTTTGAGTAACCCTGCTAAAGTAGTTTAGCAAGAAGCCCCACGCCAAATATCACATCACTTTAAATAAGTGTTTTTATTGTCCACCACTCCCTGGGTGATGTCTAATCACTCTATGTCTTCAGCAAGGATCCTATTATTTCAGTTTAACCAGAATCTCTCATATTCCTAATGTTTCTTTAGTCATTTTCCATCATACTGC